TACACCCGATGTAAAAATTACAAACGCGCCTTATATTGCAAAATTTTAACAATTTATTTTTTTGTTATTAAATTTATATTATTATTTTTTTTGTTATTTATGGTCTTTAGCATTTATATTCAACAATTTTAATAAGCTTGAGGCTTATTGTTGTTTTTTCACTATAGTTTTCATTAAGAAACGGTCTCAAGCTCAATACAATTTTTGAATTATTATTTTTTTTTATAAAATAATAGTTCATTATAGTTCAAAGTTTCCAACTTTGAGCACTGTTTAAAAAAATTTAACAATATTTCTTAAAATCTTAAAATTTGTTTAAATTAAATTTTTATGAGTATGAAGTTTTGTAGCCCATTAAATTTTAGCATAATGAAGTGCAAGATTGAAGAGAATTGAAGTAGAAATTACCGTTGATTTTTAGAAAGTTTTGTTGAAGGTATTGTGAATTTTCTGCCTATCCTAGATACGTCGGCGATAGTTTTGCATCAGTACACCCCATCGCTCACTCTCATTTCTTTTCGCTAAGAAATATAAAGTTCTGATACCAACACGATAGGATTGATTTAGCAGACCTCACAATATGCCTAAGGTAATATGCTCGGCTAAAATAAATACGGCTTCAGACTTGAACGGAGAGTTGGAGGAGGAGTTTTCTTACCTAAACTAAGGTTAGATATATCGAATCGACAAGGAAATATACTACCACCAACAGTCTTCCGGTAGAGGATACAGTAGAAAACCAAACTGGTTTAGAACTTGCGCTGAGCTAGCCTGAAAAGGGACGGTACTGGTTCTTCATCTATGCCAAATCAATGCTTTCAACTGTCTTTATTAACATGGCAATGTCCTACGAAGTGGCAATTGTCGCCCTCTGCAGAACTTTTGAACTTGTTCTGAGCGGACTCTGGCTTAGATGGTTCTGAGACTGTTCATATAACAACAGTTCTTAGATAGATCAAAAAGAGTCACCTCCGGGCTAGAATAAATGTGGTTACTTTTGAGATGGTTCTAATAAGTGTAGTATAGAGCACGCATAAAATTTAAAATTTTTAAATAATTAATTTACTTTTTGAGGTAAACTGTGCTTCAAATTTAGGAATATAAAGTGTCAGTTATTCCTTCATATTCTAAAGCCGTTATTCTTAAAAACAATTTATATTTGTTACGTTTAATGGGTATTTCTGTGTTACTTATGTATATCCAACAAGTAAGAAAGTCTTAAGTTCGGGCGGAGCCGAACATTAAATACCCGGCGCAAGTATTAAATATATGTTTTCCACCTTTCCGATACCTACCGCTACATGATAAGCGGGTGTATAAATTTTAAGTAAACTAGCATCCTTAAATTTCGAAATATTGAAATTTAAAGCATTTCTGAAATTTACCGTTATATGAAAAGCGGCCGTAATTTCAGTCCGATTTCAACAATTTTCAACGGTTTGCTTTTATGTGGCAAGCACAATAACAATACCGAGTTTGGTACAAATTGCTAGAACGGATAACGAGATACATAGATGTGATCATAAGTGGGCGGTGCCACGCCCATTTTCCAAAATTTTATCATAAACGTATTTCCTGGTAAAGAATTGTTGCAACCATCAATTTTGAATAAATTACCTTTAATATTTACTGATTTATCGAGGATTTCGTATTTCTCGAAATTACCGTTATATGGGATGTGGGCGTAGTTATTTTCCGATTTTGAAAATTTTCGGCCATTTGGTATGCTGTACCAGGGTCTACAACTGTGCCAAGTTTGGAGGAAATTGGTGCAGCGGTTACCAAGATATACACATGTAACTATAAGTGGGCGTGGCTCCGCCCATTTTCCAAAAATTTTTAATATTCTTATTTTTCGTCTAAAAGTTATTCTAAATGTCAGTTTTGAGTGAATTATCTTCAGTAGTTACTAAACTATAGCAGCTTTCGTATTTCTGAAAATGGGAGGTAGGCGTGGTTATTGCCCGATTTCGCCCATTTTCAATACCATCCGTCCTACGCCCAAAAGAAATGCATGTACCAAGTTTCGTTAAGATATCTCAATTTTTACTCGAGTTATCGTGTGCACAGACGGACGGACGGACGGACGGACGGACAGACGGACACAAGTGCGCTCGGGTATAAAAATCTAAGTCGTGTGACAAATAGAGAAAAGCGGTGATATACATATGTATTGAATACTAATTTGTGATAACTCAGCGTAATATTGTATTAAATGTATTGAAATGTAATACATAGATTCTCCGGCATCGCATTAAAAATATATATAATTTTGAATATTCACAATGGTTTTAACGTTAAATATTTTTCGTAAATTTTTTTTTAAGGATGGTTCATGTTATAGCATAATCATTTAAATTTACGTTTCTAACTATGTTGGAAGTTTAATAGAATTTTAGAAACCGTTGTAAAAACTTCAATATTTCAAATCAGAGTTTAAGAGTATGCAGTTCTATAGCCCGTTAAATTTTAGTATGATTAATCGTGTTGATTTTTTAAAACCCTTTTAACGCACGATCTTGAAGGTATTCTCCAACTTAATTATTTTCGTCTCAGATGCAAGGTTACACTTTACTACACTAAAATTGTATGGGCTTCAAAACTGAATACTCGAAATATCTCTAAAAAACTCTGATTAAAAACTTTGAAATTTGAAGACAGTTTTTAGAGTTCTATCCAGTTTGCAACAAATTTAAATGGGTTATGAAATAATAGCTATGCTTAAACAAAAACATAACGAAAAATATTTAAAATTAAAAATGTTGGAAATTAAAAAAAAAATTACTGCATATCTACACATTTCGGGTGCTCAGTGATAGGTATTAGGGATGTCAATTTTTCAGCTTTTTCCGATCCCGCTCACACAAGCTCTTGGCTCAATCCTTATCGATTAGTCCTGAAATATACTAGCCAGAAATGCGATTGCTTTAGAAAAAAGAGAACCATTTTGAAGTATGAGTGTTTTTACTCTGTAGAAAATAATTTATGCAACTTCACATACGCGCTTTTGCATTTTGTTCTATACGCGGTTTTGTACTTTAAACGACGATTTCCAATTCAAAAAAAAAATAAACAGTTGACAAATATCTTTCACCAGATGCTTAGCTAGGGTTCTCTACTACAACATACACTGAGGGAAAAATTTTTGAATTAAAAAAAAAAAACGTGATAAATTTAAAAAAATACGCATATGAAAGAGCACCAACCTAACTCGTTTTAAATTTGAGTATGTACGTTATAAAATATGTGGTTGTGAAGTGCACAGATGCTTTTTCGTAATTAAGAAGAAAAAAAAATTTATTTTATGTTCCGTCTGATGGTAATGGAACCCGGACCCTCTTGGCCGCAAATTATATCAAGCGTCTTTGATATGTATAATGAAAAGGTCCGTTTTTTTAACACTTCTCACTTGATTTAAATACGACAATTTTCAAACGGTAATAAAAAAAAATTTTATTCTTACAACGCGTTTTTTTCTCAGTGTATGTGCGTTATGTAAAAGTAGGTTCTTACTTACCAAATTCACTCGTACCTGCATGTTTTTTTATTAATTGCTAGGTTTCTGGTATTTAACAACTTACTCATATTATTCCACTAGCCGAATGACAACAAGGTGTTAGAATTATATGAAATTCTCCAATGAAAACCGATAATCAAATGTTCAACATTATGTTCTGGCTTTTGCGTTAGGTAGTATGGTATACACAAATATGTACATATAAACGTATTTACTTATGTATGCGCAAACATTTACATACACGTGTACATATGTATATATGTACATAGCTATGCACGTTACCGAACCCACGCGACACGACCACGAGATGGCTTCCCATTTTTTCATGGCGAACACACGAATTTCACTTTTTCGCAGAATTTCTTAGCAGGAATGAAATAAAATCGCACTATTTATATTTTTCATTACCACTTGCACTTTTAGTGCTATTGCACATTTGAATACAAATTAAATAAATTATTTTAAAACTTTTGCACAATATTTTCCTGCTTATCGGATTAAAATTCGCGCATCATACGTACTTAAATATATCCGCGGCAAAAGTCTACTGAATATTGAAAATTAACCTACGCTCTCCATCCATCACAGCTAATTTGCAATTTCCAAATATGTATTTATTTTTCCGGGTCCTCACTTTGAAAAGAGTTTGAATGAAGATAACACACTGGAAAACTTTCAATTTGCAAATTTGGAAATTGATTTCGCGCTAACCGATTGCGCAGAAAAAAAAGGATTTCAAGAGCGAATGAAGAGTGCACTGGAAACGGAAATGAACTCTCACTCATAGAGAGGTGGAGAGTATGCAGGCGTTTGTGTTTCCGCTTAAATAGAAGAGTCAGCTACATAGTACATACATAAGTGTGTACATACATACACACTTTTGATACACGGGTACA